ATATATTCTTTTTCTTAATGTATAATTATGACATATTGTCATACCGTGTGTTGTTGCTATTAGACATAGTCGTCATCAAATCATTTTTATGAATTTGGCTGCTGCTGCTGTTGTTGTTGTTATTGTTGAATTCACTGTCGCTTGACGCTCTTCTATTAGCTTTTTTGCTGTTCGGGCTGTTGCGCCGACGGTTTCTGCTCTTGCTGCTGTTGTTGTTGTTGAGGCTGCAGCGGTGCCGACTGAGCCGGCGGCGGCTGCTGCTGCAGAAGATGTTGTCCCTGTTGCGCGTTTTCTTTACTGGCCAAGACAGGTGTTGCTAGTGTGGTATCTCGAAGCGCGGGATTGTGCTCTTCTAGAGACATCCGTGCATAGTGCAAAACGAGAAATTTCAACGTCGGAAATATAGCTTGCGGTTCCGCGAACCCGAACCCTCGATCAGTCTTGAATATGAGACAATGCTCAATCTTCTCTCCAACTCTGTAATTTCAGGTACAATTACACAAAGCAAAACATCCCACATGAAAGAAATATAAAAACAGCAAACTGTCTGATTAATCACATGGCAGTCGTGCTTGTAGCGTCACCGCAGTCGTCTGCTCTACTGATTGCACACACTTTAGGTTTTAGCGGCGTTCAAAATAATGCTAATTCAGTTATTTATGAAGATTAGGTAGAATCGAACAACTTCTACTCATGGTTGAAAGCAGAATCAGGCCAGTAGTGACTAGCCCTGTAATGGCGTTGTTTGGTCCCTGCCGTAGATGGCAAGGTCAAATCGGTACACTTTAAATAAACTGCAAAAAACAAACGCGGGTAACGGGTCATCAACCCGTCGCGATGAAAAATCGTTTTGAAAATAGCCGGTGGCCCGTGGTCATCTTCCGTTGCCGCCATTAGTGCCATTATCAACGCATCGGCATCATACTCAATCGGAGAAAGCTTTAGGCTGTTGTTGTTACTACCACCCGGAGATTCCTACGCAGACGAGCATGCGGACGCATGAGGTGGCTAACCCAGATAAAAGTGTAAGCTTATGGGAACTGATCCAGAAGCCAGCTACTGCTAAAGAGCCTATGATTAGATGAATGCGTCCGGCAGCAAGCCAGTGAATGGCCACAGACGATGTTAGATGAATTATAAGAAAAACGCTTTTATTTTTAAAAATAGGCGCTTTTACTCCATCGCGTTGCTAGGCTCCAACTAAGGCCTACAATTTTAGGCTGGGCTGTAGTAAACGGAATGCAGTGGACTAACTGTCTGCCTCGCCAGCATTGTCGATAACGTACGCACAATACCTACATACTAAAATTAGCTATAAGGAAAAAGTAAAATTTATCTCAAATCTGAATATGTGCCATTTGAGTAAATACGGTTGGGGCATTCGATAAGATAAAAAAAAAGTATTTTTGCATCAGTTTTATAAAAGCATAGAAATTTAGTTTAAATGTAAACAGTCAGTGTATTCGAAACGTGCTAAACGTACACGAGCGATAACGCGTATTGACCGGTTTGAGATTTCCGGATGAGGAACGTCCCGTGCGGTTTTTTATCAAGCAGCTGCTCCGCCTTTGGTCGGGTACAGTCGCCCATAAACCAGGTGTTTTCATCGTTGTGAGGCAAGTCTGCAGTTGGACTCGTCATTGTGTAATAGTTGCCTGAAAAACGGGATATTACTTATGCCCAGAAATCTCGAGTTTATTAATAAGCTTCTAAGCATTCAAGTGATTACGTGAGAAAGAACGCGTCAATCCAGGCTGCCAAAATAAGTTGCATTAAGCGATTCGTTTGTACAAAGCTGCATACAAATATATCCGGTAGACGTTGTTCGACATTACAATTTGAAGATATCTTGAATGCATTAAGATGCTTACCAGACCCGCATTGTTGTTGATTAGTCCAGTACATGGTTGATCCGCCTTGCAGGTAGCCCTCCAGTTGCGATGACTCCTGAAGCAATTTGTTGATCTCATCCTTGCTAATTCCATTCCTATACAGTTTCATCTGACACAGTTCGCGCTCTTTATGAATCTGGGCTATTTCAAGACGGAGACTGCTCATATCGGACTCGATCTGTCGTTGGTACTCCAGACGAGCCCTGATGTCCTCTTCAAGCGCCTTCTTCTCGCGGCGCATTTGATCTTGACGATCAAGCAGCACCTCCTGATTCTCCTGGAAAGCTTTCTTGTGCTCAGGAAATCTACTAATTTGGTTCCTCCCCAGGGTAATCTGATTCTCGTACATTTTGATAGCCTCATCAAATGACTTAAGCGCATGCTGTTTAAGGTCCACTTCCTGGCGCAGTTGGTTGAACGAATCATGGAAGCGGTCGAGCGTACGTGACTTCAATAGGTAGTCACGATTGTTGTCCACCATCATCTGGCGAAGTGTAGCTAGATCAACGCGAGGCGTGTCATCGTCCTCCTCCACAAATCGAGACACGGGATGCTCGAGTTTGACGTCCAGAGCCGCATTATACTGGGACAAAGAGTTCTGCTTGAAGTGTTCGATCAGATCGATAACCGAGGTGAAGGATAGTGGCTCGGTAAAGCCATACAAGCCCTCACGGTGCAAGATCTTAATCAACTTGTTACATCCACTCTGTCGCAGGGTCAACGTAAGGTCTCCGGTGCTTTTCGACGTTGCGTCACGAACGAGATACGTGCCGTCGGGTTTATCTCTTAGCTTTTCATTAACCTCCTCTCGAGTGATATTACCCCAGTACCACTCGGCGTTGGCCAGGGAGGTATGATGTGGGTCGCACGTTGTGTGGGGTATTTGAAGAGTCATCTTGCGTGGGGGCAACGCCGGAGGCAGTGATGGAACCGTGAAATTCGGGAGTTGTTCCCCCCACTCACCGCGAGACAAGAGCAAACTGCAAATACGCACGTGAAGGGGCGTATTCTTTACAATTGACGAAATCTTGTCCCAACGCGGCCGGAGAAGTATGTAACAAAACGCGTTGACAACGTCAAATGGCGGATGGGTTAGCCCTCTCGAAAACTGCAGCTTGCACACCCTACATAGGTGGGCAAGTAAAGCTCGTAGAGTTGATTCGTGTGTGATGGGCAACTGGTGAACGAGTTGGCGCAGCTTCAACGCGCAGGCCTCATCGTTTCGTTCCCCTATAACAAAATAGCAAAGGTCAATTAAGTCAACGCTGGGTAGAATGCAAGCTTGTCACATTTAACTACTATTATCTTTACAATAACTTTTGAGATGACTGTTATCCTACAAATGGTTTATATGAATCGAATGATTTGCTTTCGCAAACCACGAATAATTACATCACAATTATATATGTATATTATTATATACAATTACATAAGTGCTATTATGATGGCACGTCAACGATAGTAGGAAGTCCACGAACGCTTGCATAGAAATAATTCTTATCTCTGTGTACATATACTCGGTCCATATCATAAAATAAACGCATTTTCTGTTTTTTAATTAACGGCAATCAAATAAAAAATCATACGCGGCGAATTCAATCTGCAAATCTTTTGCGTTTAAAAAGGATACCAAAGCTCCCCATAAAACGGTTCCTTAGGACAACCTCATTTACCTTTAGAGTTCCTTCAAAACAATAAGACCTTTTCTAGTGTGTTTTTATCGAGCTTGCTTTTTTTCTAGCTACTGCCGGTGTAAACCCCAACGGAATTCCTTGCACTTTGTACTTCTTCTACTACGCGATGAGTGGCACTCAGATAGGCGCGGAACACAAGCTCTCCTTGATAAGATAACTAATTACCTGTCTAAGACTTCCCGCTTGTAGACAGTAACTAGTAAAATGTTCTAATGCTAAGCAATACAGACCGCCAAATGCCCATATAGCCTGTGAAAGGTGACGTTTGATATTGTATACTATGAATACCCGCTCCAATATACTGACTGATCAAAATCTGAAACTAATGTACTTACGGGCAGCGTCGAGGAAGCGATCGTAGAAATTCACAGGTATGAGCGGTGAGCTCAGTTCATAAAGATACTTTTTCAGAGCGGCCACGAAGCTTTCAATACCAAAGCCATTCAGCGCGCACTCTTTCAGGCCACCTGAAAATTGAACGTAGCTTAGTTTTGCCACAACGTCAGCTTTGGACCTCTCTCGAGATTTTAGGTACGAGAGACACAGCTTTCTACAGGTTAGCGCAAGTGTATCATTAATGTGGTCCGTCGGCAAAAAATAGATACAACGCAAATCATATGCTATTAAGAACTTTGTTTATTTTGTATTACATGCTACATACTTTCTTTGACCCGCTTTCACGTGGCAGGTATGAACCTGATAGGCCAAAAACCATCTAGGCTTAAAGTAGGAGAGGACGGTCTCAAAAATAGGTAAATTGGATGCGAGTACAATTTTAGTATTTCCTGAGAAAACACGATTTCCATATTCTAATCATAAGTCGAACGCAAAATACAAACTGTAGCGGAGTTTAACGCCGATAGCCAATGACTACTGGCGTGCACGTGCTGTTGACGTGCTATGTTTCATCGTACTACGCTTAATTAAAGGTGCCACAGAACATCGTGCACCGCACCGCCCGCCAACTAATGCTTATGAGAATCCGCCTGCCTAGTGTAATCCTCACACGTTATCACAATGCACGAATGTAGCGATGAATACACTGCCGTTCGAGCCTGACCTGCGATCGTGTCATAGGTTCAAAATAGATAACATTAGCTCATGGACAGTCCAATTCACGCGTCGCTATTTCGTACAGTTGCATACATCCTGTTTGTTGAGTGCCGTCTTAACGCTATAGGAGTGCTCCTAGGTTGAACGGCTAATTGCCAAAAATACCTTTATATTTTTTATACTACTAACTCTATTATTCGCTGATTATGTGTTATCACTAAGAGGTCTTCATAGCGATAGCTATCAGCATATATATATATATATTCGAGGTTGAGTTTTCCCAAAATACACCGGGACTTCCCTAAGAAATAGATACATGTGTTTATAACGGAAATACGGAGCCTGATTTCATAATACTGCAAATGTCTCACAAAGAAACATGGACATGGAATGTAATAGAGTTTTGAATTTATTTTAATATATGATATTTGTATGATGTAGTATTCCTGTGGTACGAAAGTCATTTTGACGGCAGCGGTGAGCAACAGTTGATTTTTTTCACTTATTCATTTGTTCGTCTGCTCCTACGTTTCCTAGCAGCTCAGTTAATGAGTGGTGACTTGTGGTCGTTTTCTACAACTGGCATTACTAGAACCTATCCGCTCCCATACACATGCATACTTTTACTTTTCCTATACGTTAAACATCCGTAGGTCTATCAGCCATCTTACAAATCGCAATGGAAACCTTCCGTTGTAGCTACGCTCGGCTGGAGCTGATAACAGCAGCAGCAGCAGCAGCTGCTGAGCGGGGTAGCCCTTAGGCGTCACGGAGTGCGCCGTATTCCTGCTACCGAGGGCGACCCGTTTGTCCGTCCATCATTCTATCTAAAGGTGTGGCATTAACGTTAACGCCAGCCATCTTGTTCATTCACTCCCTGCATCATTCCACCACTACTGCGTCTGGTGACTAGTCCTAGATGACTCAATCAGTCAGGCAGACGGGCAGGTCGACTCCGCTCCAAGACGTCTCAAGACGTTTGCGCAAGAAATGTGAGTGTGGTCCCCCTCGTTGTTAGCTACCTTCCCTAACTCACCGAACTCGTTTTTCTCACTGAATCTAGCTCGTTTCATGTCGACCCGACGTGATGATATTCGCGGCCTGGTCGGTTGGCGTTTATTCACGTCGGCTCGACTGACGAGGATCGCTGTCCTCAACCTCTTCGGCGACGTCAATTTGAGAATGGAGAACCGCTATATCTCGTCAGTCCTCCGCTTCTACTGCTGCGGCCACCACAGCGTCGCCGCCCCAAAAATATAAACTACTCCCATCATCCATTAATCATCTCAATAAACTGCCACTGCCGGTGGCCGAGGCGACGATTTGCCAACAACGACGACGACAATAAATACCACGTACCCAGAGATACACACACCCCAGACGCGTATAAATGTAGAACTGAACAGAATAGAGCATCATAGCTGCTAGACTATTAATGTACTGGATGGCCTTCACAATAGCGTGTCCTGATCATCGTAGTTGTCAAGATAGTATGCTTAGCCTAATATGGCTGCACGGGGCAATACGAACTCAGGTGACAAAAAGACTATTACTACAAGGGACCAGTCAGAAAGGCTAACTAAATGACCAGTGAGAGCACACGAACTAGCGAAAATCACCATTAAGCCCTAAGACGGAAAAATGGAACCAATCATACGACTAGTGTTCACGATGACTCCACATGCTTACGTGTTCTCTTGTTGTCTCCACTTCAACACTAGAGCTCCATAACAACACTCACCCTCTCGCAGTGTCGCGACAAGCCGATCGACATCGCCCTGAGGCGGTTCGGTACGAGTCCCAAAGATGGCGTAGAGGTCTAGCGAGGCGTTGCGGTGTGCCAACAATTCGATACCTTCTATACAACTGAGCACAAAACTGGGTGCTGCCTGTTCCGTCGCGCTGAACTGTTCCGCCAACTCGAGAACCGCTCCTGAAGGCTGAATAGTTGCGGCGATACGCCGCTGAAGTGCCTCACCAGTGATGCGACCAGGCTCACAGGAGCCCGTTAGGGCTGACGTGGAGCACACAGCGTGAGTCACCGTCCCGCACGAGCGGCACAACAGACCTGCAGAATAGTATAGAACTGTGTCGTTGTTGACATCATTCTCAATTTCATCGTCATCAACATCATATTAGCGACTGAGGCTCAATTCTACCGGCAGGACTTAAGGCAAACTGTTAAGTAGATGGATAAACACCGTAAATAAAAGGTTAGCTATATAGAGCATCAAACCTGCTGCCTAAGCTAGAGCTAACTAAACGTACGGCCACGTGTGGAACCCAGTCACTTTTTCATTCTGACTCCGTCTGTCCGTTTCTGAAACATTTGTGCTGCCCACCTGATTCCTTGTTTAAGTTTCATTAATTTTTGAAAATTACAAAGACTATATAGGCTTAAAGATTACTATATGTCTGTGAGTCCTTCACTGTACGCGACCTTCACCGACATGTTGGCAACGTTACCAGTGTGAACCCACCGCCATTAACGTCTCGGCCTCTTCGAAGCCATCGCGTGCAAGGCGTATCTTCGACTCGGCTAATTATCATTTAATGTTTCTCGCATAGCCCTATGCAAGCAGTCCAGGGCTGTAAAACCTATTGGTTGTGATCTTAATGGCAGTTGTTGCGAGACAGGACTAATTGCACGATACGGTGGGCCCTCGAATGGAACCGTCAAGTAAGGATGAACAAACCAGCTTATACATGCAGTCGCCTTTTGCACAGTGTCACGTTAGTAACACAATTGAGCCACAGCACATTGTCACTCCGTCGGGGTGCCGGTGTTCCCTCTGGTTGGGGTACTTTGTTGTAATCAACTTTCTTTACCGTTGTATTTCACTATCCGATGAGCAAGACGATCTCTACAAGCACGTTCTATGTATTTGCTAAGACTAGCCTAATTTTGAATAGCGGCTGATAAATTTTTCTGATTTCCAAGTGTCGGCTATTGCATGAGCTCTTCTAGAAAAGAAGGATTAAAATCTAGCGCTTTTTCAAATATGGTACAGATAGCCAAATTTGGCTGTTATTTTAATTTTTGCTATAGTCGTAAACGCCTTGCCCGTTCATAGAATCATAGGTACTCACTGATACAATAGTGCTGACGGGCATGGATAAGGATTTGTCTATACTTGTGGAAGGAATACAGGGACAGCAAGAAAACGCTTATTTACACTGTGGGAGAATTTTTTTTGTAAGATCAGTGTGTATGTGGTCTTTAATCTGTGTGCGCATTTGTCAATATTACAATTGCTTGACTCAAGGCACGCACCTTGTTTACCCGATAGCGACTTCTGGCAGTGGTCACAGTTTTCGGCTAGGATGAACGCGACGGGCTGCAGTTGGTGTAACGCGGGGCTGGCGGGAGTGGTTTTCGAGGCCTGAAGATGTTGACATTCTTCGACCAGTGGTGCCTGGGTCGAGACCCGGGAACTCATTGCCGACGAACTCGTACTGCCGTTGTTATTGCGATGGTTGCCATTACCGTGGTTGTTGACGGTGTTGACAACACCATTGTGTTCCTTGTTGTTGTTGTTGTTGTTGTTGTTGTTGTTGTTGTTGTGGCTGTTGTTGTTGTTGTTGTTGTTGTTGTTGTTGTTGAGGCTATTTTTGCTGTCCTCTCGAAGGCGAGCCATGTCAAGGCACGCCGACTCCTCCGCGGGCGATAGATTCTGTTGAGGGGGCATCCAAACATTAGAACCCGTCCTCAATCAGAAGCAGCTAACAAAACAGGGCCCGCCTGTCTTCGCATGATAAACCAAGCCAAACAATGGACAACGATATTCTCCAGCTTTTTGGGCTGTCGAATCCGCAAAAGCTAGATAGAGGAGTTCCAACAAAATTTCCCAATATTAAAGATCCATAACAGTCTGACTGCATAATCAGTCAGGCGTAGAGTAACAAATTGCCGCAGGGCAGAAACGTAAACAAAGTATCGCCCGATGATTAGTCAATTTTTAAACGGTTTTATATAATAGAAGATGGTAAGAAGGACGCCCACCTTTTGCTGCAGCTGACAGGCAGCAAACCTTTATCCACGTCAAGATTCAGGCAACATGTATCGATATAAGAAATCCATTGCGTAAATTCGTGAGAACGGTTGAATCGATATCCAAAAAGTACAAAGGAATTCACTATACACTTCAGACAACTCGAAAGGATAAAACGTTATTCGTAACTATCAACGATGACCAAATCTTGCCAAAAGCGTTCGCTAAGAGCTAGTTAAAATGACCGAAATGGCCAAGACAAAGACCTAGCCATCAATAAATGGCATCTAGGTTATCTTAGCGTTATCGCTGTCGTTTTGTAAAGCAAGGACGCCAAAAACGGGGCGATAGGGATTAGCATATGAATTTTTCCTGTTTTTCATAGCATCAAACATAAAAGAACGAAGACGCCTAACAAATCGGGCGGGATAAATACAAGCGGATTTGGTAATCGAATTCAAGGTCGAACAGCTTTCTTCTAAAAACAACCAGTCGGAACTCTCGTTGATGGCTTCGATCAACTAGAGAGTGATGGTGGTGAGTGGAAATCGGAAGGGTACTTACGATGCCGCGAGTCCGACAGAGTTCGGAGATACAGACGAGGATGGCTTGCTGAGGGTAGTCCTCCTTGATGCCCATTCCGGCCAGCTTGTGTCGGTCCAGCCCTGGCAGATCGCTGCCTTGGATGGCTGTGGACTCAAAAGGTCCGCTGTACGAGATCATGTTCACTGAGGCCATCCACTCCAGTACGTTTCGAGTTGTCCACTCACTCACCGGCTGTAAGCGACAAACCATAGCAATAAGAACAACAACAACATCGGCCGACAACAACAACAACAACAACAGGACAATCGTCAATGTGAGGCTCCTGAAGAAGGTGTTGAGTGTACTATTTATCGTCGAGCGCGAGGATTAATCAATCAAGTGATCGAATGAGGTCGACATCAAATCAGACCACTTCAATAACAACTTAAATCAGAACACCCGATGGGCTCGTTCACTGATCCGAGCGACACTATAAAACAACAGATTATAGCACGAGAAACTATCTCCGTACTAAGCACACGGCTTCTATTTGATTGCCTGCCTAAGCCTCACCTGGTCCTAGTGATCATAACTATTCGGTCAAATATCTAACAGTTAGTAGATTTCGGTCACAAGTTTAGATATGATTTACGTTAGAGCGAGAAATTAAGCCAACAGGATTTTTACGAATGACAATACGTGCTTACATGCTGCGAGTGCAACTCGCTGACATATTACATAATGCCACTTTAAAAAAAAAACGTCTGTCAAAACAATACATGTAAAGTATTAGGACCGTACACGCATTCCGCTTGATTATATTTTACGCCAATTGTGGCCCTTCGATGCTCATATGTTGATTGGTTCTTTGTGCGCATGTGTGTCTACTTTTTTTTTTGTTCATGTATGTATGTATGTATGTATGTGGCCGTTGATGCGTTATCTTGGTCGAAAACGATTTTTCTCTATCGATCACTCTTCCACACAGGAACCTGTTTAATATTTGTTTCAGAATTCGAGCAGAGAGCCGATCAAATCTAGACAAATAGAATTCTATATAAAAGCATGCGTCATAGAAACAGTATATTCCATCTCTAATAATATTCAGATAAATAAAAAAAAAATAGATAAAAGGTTCAGGCTGCTCAAATCGACGCGCACTATATAGCACGTTAACTCTATAATACTATAAGAAATACTGGACAAAGAAATTACAGTGTAGAGTTCTGTGCCGTATAAGCTTCATAACAACAACTGGTAGTAGACAGCTCACTACTGGCAAGAGGTCAATCACTCATAATCATAAGCTAATTTGTAACAATTCGGTGCGAGCCACCAAATTAGACTACGACGGGGCCTATAAGCTTCCTTTTTAAAAAGAAAAATTACGTCAAGAAAGTTCATATCTGCAATCATTGGGTCGGTTATGACTGATGAATGATCGATATCAATTTAAGTTTTTTAAGATTTTGAAATTCGGAAACTAAGGTACCGAGTTGACACGTGCTACAAGCTCTCCTGTTGAGCGACAGTTAAAATGGACATTGAAGCACTATCGCAATCGTTGGTTTTTTTTTTCTCTATCTGTGTTTACCCACGCCGTCGTTATTACTACGAGTGGTGTCGTGTCACTAGTGACGACGCCGATGTTCACAGTGGACATAGCGGCACACGACTATAACATACCTAGGCGTGCCTGAACAACCTTCACCCAGTATTGACCTAAAAGTTCCGTTCCGTTTCTATCTATAGCTATCTATCTATCTATCTATAGCTATCTATCTATCTATCTATAGCTATCTATCTATCTATCTATAGCTATCCATCTATCTATCTGTCTATAGCTATCCATCTATCTATCTGTCTATAGCTGTCCATCTATCTATCTGTCTATAGCTATCCATCTATCTATCTGTCTATAGCTATCCATCTATCTATCTGTCTATAGCTATCCATCTATCTATCTGTCTATAGCTATCCATCTATCATCTAATCTATAGCTATCCATCTATCTATCTAATCTATAGTTACTTTATCTATAACTATCTATCTAATCTATAACTATCTATCTAATCTATATATCTATCTAATCATAGTATCTATCCAATCTATAGCTATCTATCCAATCTATAACTATCTATCTAATCTATAGCTATCTATCCAATCTATAGCTATCTATCCAATCTATAACTATCTATCTAATCTATAGCTATCTATCCAATCTATAGCTATCTATCCAATCTATAACTATCTATCTATTTATCTATCTAATCTATAACTATCTATCCAATCTATAACTATCTATCTATTTATAGCTATCTATCTAATATGTAGCTATCTATCTATTTATAGCTATCTATCTAATATGTAGCTATCTATCTACCTATAGCTATCTATCTAATATATAACTATCTATCTACCTATAGCTATCTATCTAATATATACTATCATATACCTATAGTATCTATCTACTATAGCTATCTATATACCTATAGCTATCTATCTAATATATACTATCTATATACCTATAGCTATTATCTATCTATATCTATAGCTATCTATCTATATAGCTATCTATATACCTATAGCTATCTATCTAATCTATAGCTATCTATATACCTATAGCTATCTATCTAATCTATAGCTATCTATATACCTATAGCTATCTATCTAATCTATAGCTATCTATATACCTATAGATATCTTTTATAGCTATCTATATACCTATAGATATCTTTTATAGCTATCTATATACCTATAGATATCTTTTATAGCTATCTATATACCTATAGATATCTTTTATAGCTATCTATATACCTATAGATATCTTTTATAGCTATCTATATACCTATAGATATCTTTTATAGCTATCTATATACCTATAGTATCTTTTATAGCTATCTATATACCTATAGTATCTTTTATAGCTATCTATATACCTATAGTATCTTTTATAGCTATCTATATACCTATAGTATCTTTTATAGCTATCTATATACCTATAGTATCTTTTATAGCTATCTATATACCTATAGTATCTTTTATAGCTATCTATATACCTATAGTATCTTTTATAGCTATCTATATACCTATAGTATCTTTTATAGCTATCTATATACCTATAGATATCTTTTATAGCTATCTATATACCTATAGATATCTTTTATAGCTATCTATATACCTATAGATATCTTTTATAGCTATCTATATACCTATAGATATCTTTTATAGCTATCTATATACCTATAGATATCTTTTATAGCTATCTATATACCTATAGATATCTTTTATAGCTATCTATATACCTATAGATATCTTTTATAGCTATCTATATACCTATAGTATCTTTTATAGCTATCTATATACCTATAGCTATCTTTTATAGCTATCTATATACCTATAGCTATCTTTTATAGCTATCTATATACCTATAGCTATCTTTTATAGCTATCTATATACCTATAGTATCTTTTATAGCTATCTATATACCTATAGTATCTTTTATAGCTATCTATATACCTATAGATATCTTTTATAGCTATCTATATACCTATAGTATCTTTTATAGCTATCTATATACCTATAGCTATCTTTTATAGCTATCTATATACCTATAGTATCTTTTATAGCTATCTATATACCTATAGTATCTTTTATAGCTATCTATATACCTATAGCTATCTTTTATAGCTATCTATATACCTATAGATATCTTTTATAGCTATCTATATACCTATAGATATCTTTTATAGCTATCTATATACCTATAGCTATCTTTTATAGCTATCTATATACCTATAGCTATCTTTTATAGCTATCTATATACCTATAGCTATCTTTTATAGCTATCTATATACCTATAGCTATCTTTTATAGCTATCTATATACCTATAGCTATCTTTTATAGCTATCTATATACCTATAGCTATCTTTTATAGCTATCTATATACCATAGCTATCTTTTATAGCTATCTATATACCTATAGCTATCTTTTATAGCTATCTATATACCAATAGCTATCTTTTATAGCTATCTATATACCAATAGCTATCTTTTATAGCTATCTATATACAATAGCTATCTTTTATAGCTATCTATATACCAATAGCTATCTTTTATAGCTATCTATATACCAATAGCTATCTTTTATAGCTATCTATATACCAATAGCTATCTTTTATAGCTATCTATATACCAATAGCTATCTTTTATAGCTATCTATATACCAATAGCTATCTTTTATAGCTATCTATATACCAATAGCTATCTTTTATAGCTATCTATATACCAATAGCTATCTATACCAATAGCTATCTTTTATAGCTATCTATATACCAATAGCTATCTTTTATAGCTATCTATATACCAATAGCTATCTTCTATAGCTATCTATATACCAATAGCTATCTTCTATAGCTATCTATATACCTATAGCTATCTTCTATAGCTATCTATATACCTATAGTATCTTTTATAGCTATCTATATACCTATAGTATCTTTTATAGCTATCTATATACCTATAGTATCTTTTATAGCTATCTATATACCTATAGTATCTTTTATAGCTATCTATATACCTATAGCTATCTTTTATAGCTATCTATATACCTATAGCTATCTTTTATAGCTATCTATATACCTATAGCTATCTTTTATAGCTATCTATATACCTATAGCTATCTTTTATAGCTATCTATATACCTATAGCTGTCTTCTATAGCTATCTATATACCTATAGCTATCTTTTATAGCTATCTATATACCTATAGCTATCTTCTATAGCTATCTATATACCTATAGCTATCTATCTATAGCTTTGTATATATAGCTATCTGTCTATCTATCTATTTGTAGCTATCTATCTATAGCTCTATATATATAGCTGTCTGTCTGTCTATCTATAGCTGTCTATCTATCAATCTATAGTTATCCATCTATCTATGTATCTATCTATAGCTCTCTATCTATCTACCTATCTATAGCTATCGATCTATCTATCGCTATCTATCTATCTATAGCTCTATACCTATACCTATCGATCTACCCATCTATAGCTCTATATGTATACCTATCAATCTACCCATCTATAGCTTTATATCTATATACCTATCAATCTACCCATCTATAGCTATCTGTCTATCTATAGCTAGCTATCTCTCTATCTATGTATCTATCTATAGCTCTATATCTATACCTATTGATCTACCCATCCATAGCTGTCTGTCTATCTACCTATAGCTCTATATGTATACCTATCGATCTACCCATCTATAGCTCTATATGTATATCTATAGCTATCTATCTATAGCTATCTATCTATCTATCTATCTATCTATCTATTTTCTCACCTATGCTACTCAGGTACCCAACATGATCGTTTAAAGCAATCTTGTGCTTTTTTCATCTCAAAGAGCCATAATGCTAATTTCTGTAAGCTGACCGTTTTTAGTAAATGCTCGACAACCGGTGAGAACTTGCGCAAGGATTTCATTGAAAAGTTATTTGTTTTTTCCGACAGTACAAATTAGGTACAACAACGAATTTAGCGGGGAAATTTAGATTTCTTATATTCTACTATGCTAAAATTGTTCATGGTTGATTAAGTATAAACCATCGTAGCTTTTTTTCTTCAGTGCACGAATGTTTTTCCGAAAGGCAGTCTTTCCTACATGGAGGGCGTCGCTGATTAGTTTGCGAAATGGATGATAAAATCTGAACCATCTCTACTTGTATGATTCATACTTTTCAATTATAAATCATATTAGTATTTTTCCTGATGGTAGAATTTTCTTAAATGGGAAAACGGGATAAATGCAACAGACTATCAATATTGCAACACTGATCTTATAGAGCTCGAATAACTACAGAAGACTGCGAAGCTAATAAGGTAAAGTACCCCGGCGTTGTAAGCAGGACTGAAACTTAATTTTGAAGGTACATCCAATTTTATGTGTTTTCGTACTGCTTACTTTAAAATTGACTTCAGTTATTTCTTCAAGCAACAGGATCCATGCATTAACAGGTGAATTATGTTAAAGTAAGAAAATTATTAGGGTATATAATAGGAAAACGGAATAATTTCAGTAAAATGACCAATTAGTGCTGGAGAATAACTATATGGCGGGGGGGGGGGGGGGGGATCATTGGCTCTAACAAAGGAAGGGTATAGAATATAATCACACGAAACCGAAAAGTTGCCACGGTGAAACAGAATCAATAAAATAAAGTTTCAAGAGCACTGGAACGGAACATTTATAAAAATGTACGTTTTCTATAGAAGAGTAACTTATATTAGCAAAGCAAGAATAAAATATTAGAATATAACTAACAGAGATAGCTGCAACATGGCTGTTGGAATGTTCCCCTACGATTGAACAGGACAACAGGAGCAGGAGTACTGCAATGGAATAGATGTTGTTGCTAACTGACTGAGTGGAATTACTGCTATAGGATAGCCGCGACAAGAAAATGAAATAAGCACTCTAGAATTTCAAACTGCAACGAGATTATCGTAAAAATGGGGGTCTGCAATCGAACTATAGTTTACTATAGTTTACGAACTATAGTTTACGTTTGGCTACGTTGGATTTCATTCGCCGGTGCTGGCTATGGGGTTTGTTTTGAAAATTGCTTGCCTTTGCCTTTGTTCGAAATATATGCTTATGCGTTGTGGTGAAATTAAGAAAAAAACAACTCTTCGGGAAAAACAGCAGCCGAGTAACTAACTATCTGCAAATCTGTCTAACTAAAATGTTTGCCACCGAAAGCACTTGCCGAAATCTGCATGAAATGATACACATGTTCTTATGCGCACTTCTCAGTTTTGCCATCGAACATGCCGTTCGAAGGACAAAAACTTTACACGGTGTTTTTTATAGTGGAAGGGGATATTTCATCAGTAGTTGGTGGGTTTCGACAGGTCGAGTATCACTGCAACTTATGTCCCAATACCTAAAATTGATATTTCGATGTGATAAAACGAAAAGCCGACTGTGATATCTGTTTTCATGTAGCCAGAGGTAAAAATCAACTTCGACGGAATTTCAATGGTTTTTCAAGGAGAGATAAATCTCGAGCTAGCTAAACATGTAGTGTACGTCCTCCACAACTAGACCAAGGATTTTATTGCGAAAATAACCAAAAGTCCGACTGGTCTTCTCGGTTCGCTTACGTAGCAATTAAATAGGAACGAGTTCCAGCATACTTTTAGGCGACTTTTTGTGGCGGCATCCAATACATTCCCACTGGAGAATTAGGCTAGATGTAGCACAAATTAAAGATGTTTCCATTAGAACAAACCAATGAAATGGCTGCAGAATTGCAACGAAATATTTGTTATGATGAATAGTATTCACATTAGATCAGGTGTAACATTGACAAAAATTAAGCTAAATCAAGTAGCACAAAACAGAGGCGGGACGAAGCTCGCGGGTCCGTATAGCTTAATTTGTCAGGACTCAAAATGAACCCTTGAAGTTTCGAGCTGGCGTCATTTTTTCTAGGTAGTTGTATCCTGGAAAGATATTCGTGGAAGATGAACTAATCTATCGAGCATTTTCCCCCTAGAAAAAAATTTCGCTATTCCCCGTAGAACATAATGGTAACTTGGCTGATTGTAAGTTGAGAGCAGCAACTTCTTTCTCATGTTCCATGTTTGGAAACAGTGCCAAAGCACCGTTTACAAGTAGAAAAGCGGCAGTCAATGTCATCCGTACTATCATCAATGTGAAGTCTGTTATGTTGCGTGAATAAATGTGCTCAACGTGTGTTGCATGACAATTTCTATTTATGCTGTATTATGGAAGAAACTGTTAGGCAATAGCTGGCTGCCGCTGGACTAGGTAAGAGACTAAATATGAATATAATCAGCGGTTTAGCCCTCCACAAACGTTCAGCAGGCGTAATGCGAAGCCCGTGGGCAGCTCTTTAATTACTTGCAAATACGGAATTCTTTCCAGCCGATAGCCTTACATCCAGGTCACATAGTCTTTTGTATGAATCATAGTGTGAGCTTTTAGGACAAAGCGCCACGGACGAGGCTGTTGTTGTTGTGGTCGTCGTCACAGTTGCTGCTAGCGATCCCGAATGTGTCATGATAAGAAGTAGCGGCCGAATGAAGAACATTTACAGCGCTAAACTAGCACGGTGTAACCAGTTAACTAGCGTAACAGCCGCTATTAGAGAGTGGATGAGTGGGAATAGTGTGTCTCATCCTGGTGGGGCCTGAGGGTCATTACCGTCCGGCCATGCTCCGCCGTTCTCTGTGTCGTTTTCCCAGCAGTCGTTCCTGCTTGCCTGCTTGCCTGCCTGCCTGCCTGTCTGTCCGTCTAGTCTGCCTCGAATATGTCTTCCAGCTTCCATTGATTCTTGCTACTGTTGACACTGCTCTCTCTCTCCCTCTCCCTCTTCCTCCCCCTCTCTCTCTCTCTCTCTCTCTCTCTCTCTACCTCTCTTTCTATCTCTAGCATATCCCTACCTGCCCATCCGTCGATTTGTCCGTCTGTCTCAGCAGCGTGGTCATTGTCGCCGTTTAGTCCCACTCACTTCTTCTTTCAACCTCTCTCAGTTTCACCTACCGCTGATGCTGCGGTTGTGTGTTAGACACTTCTACGATGCCTGTCTCTACTTCAGACGACTTTTACTGCTGCGGCAACTTCTTTGCCGCTACCGCTAGTGGCCTATTATCGCAAACGCGTAGAAATGCCATCGCTGCTCGCGCCCTAGACTAGCAACGTCGCATGAGCCAGTCAGCCACCGAACCACGCACGACTGTTGCCCGTCTGAAACAATAGTGAGCCAGGCAGCGACAGCCGCAACAATAATGAGCAGTCGAAGTAACGACGAACAACGACCAGGAACGGCAGAGTGTATACAATAGCAATAATGTAGCACGCCGTTATCCGAAACAGAAAGGAGATCAGAATGCCACCAAGTGTCCACTCGGCAAACGAGGATAGAGTTCCGTTGATCAGGCTGCTCGCTTCTAGTGATACTGCTAGTGATACTAGTAATCTCGTCAGAATCGTCCTATCGAAAACGGTGCTGTTACTCAGACGCGCCAATGAGAGGAAGGGAGAAGGTTTTTTTTAGAACAACTCGCAACAACGCGCCAAAAAAAAACAAGTGAAATATGACAAAAACCAAGATATTGACCATGCAGGCGATACCATGATTGGCAATCGTATATCAGTAACATCAGTCGTTATAATGGTGACACCCCCTTCGTTACGCAGGATAGGAGCCTCACCTACGTAACGAGGAAAAATAATAATATTTTTGGGGGCTACCGTTCAAGGTTGACCGTATATATACATATGCACGATTTAACGCGCAGCTTCTCTTGTACGATAGAATATAACAGCACTGCAATGGCGGGTTGAGGCAGACACCAGGAATCGACTATGAACTTGAATAATACTGCGATTTTATGTGAATTAGTGGGCAAGTATAGAACTGTCTCCCTGATTTCTCGCTAGACCCAGATTTCAAGTACGTAGAACCAATTATCTACAGACGTGCCAAAAAAACAAACAGACGTAGCAGATACTGGTCCCTTATTAGATGATCCCCCAGCGAGATTTACTCACTCACTTTGCCGAACTATCTACCTTGCGTCCTACTGTTCCCCGTTGCTCTTTTTCAGAACGGACAAAGGCTAGAACCGGTCGATTTCTCCCTTTCTTGGGACCGCACTAGACAATACCTGATTATACGGGTTTGATACAATCGAGAATGAGGCGGATAGGCGTACGCACAACGACACAGACAAACGAATTTGAAATAGTAAAAGCTTGTTAGCTTGCCATCGAACACGCAGCAATTGGCTGGCTCATAATTACCAGAGCCCCTATGTAAGGCCGAGTTGTCGCCTAACGTATTATGCCAGCTGAGATCTGCATCGGTAATGAACGCAGGGTGTCTGTATAACAAATAAAATATGTATTAACTCAGTAAGGCAAAGTCAAATCGTCTGTGCCGGTTGCGATTTACTTTAATATATCACTAGTCGCCTGTTCATAACAGTGGTCCTATCACATAAACTAGCACCTAGGCTGAGGAAGTCAGCTATGGCTTAATTGTAAGAGTGCCACGTCGATCGACGGTACATCTGTAGCTCGTAAGCTTTTGACCTGTTTTAACAGAATTCCTTTAAAAACCACTTCTAAATTGAATGTTATCAAGTTCCGCTCGACGGAATTCCAAATAGGTTCGTTTTAGACGATTACAAGATGCTATAAATGCTGAAATACGACAGACAAGGTTCCAATTAATCAATAGTGCATATACGTCTAGTTCTAAAGTCAAGCCGTATTTCGTACATCGTTTCATATACATGTAACTGTTGCGTTCGTTAACCGTTGCGGCCTACCTGAACGTGGATACGATTCACATCGAACAGAAATAAGCAATATCCGTCAAAAAGGGCCATTAGTATCACGGTCTACATTATAATTTGACAATGTGTTCCGCACCAGGGCTGCCGTACCAGCCATTTGAGATTCGGTCAACCCGTTCATTCATTCAGGTAGGCCTTCTTTCCCTTCAGCAACGTCGTCAGCATTTCTAACCGTGCAGCTCTAACGACACTACATACGCATGCACGTGGTTTCTATTCATCGTTTTTATAGCGGTGACTCGGTTGCTGCCTAGTTCTTCTCGAGCGCCACAGGAGCACAAGCTACTGTTGCTTTGATGTATAACCACTCTTGTCGTACAATAAAAAAAGTGATATATAATGTGTGTCCCGTATAAACAAGTGGCCATTGTATTCAGTAGGTGCGACTGTTTGGTGTTGTTGAATTCTTGTTTTGTACGACAATTCAGTCGGAACGATTGGTCGTCTAAAGGCCACCACGTACAGATGCAGGCACATGGCGGCAAGCCCCTGTTGAACGCGGCACGCGAAGACTAAGACGACGACTAGTTGCTTCAGCAATGGCAACAGCGCGAGGGCACCGAGACAACGCTGTATTCCAATAGTGCTACGAAGACTGTTAGTAGAGAGAAGAAAGCGGGAGGGCAAATACGGCAGTGCCGCTTCTGCATAATTCACGCCCTGTTCGATGACGACATCACACAACTATTATTGATGGATTATAGATGATGATGCACATGATTGTGGCACTACAAGTGCTACTCAATGCTTTATATATATAGCTCTTAGGCAACTGAATAGCAGCGGCCCGTAGGCTAAGAAGAAAATGGTAATTGTAAAATACGTGCGCGTGGATCTGTTCGTCTGTCTGTGTCGTGATTGCGTTCGCGTTTAAAAGGCAAATTAGGGCAGATAGAAGGACCGCGTTCAACACCGTCATCAAATTATAAGCCCGTTCGAGAGCAGCCGACATCTGCTTCATTTATTTACACTGTACAGTGTTACTAGTAATCATAATAACAACAGATACGCAACTATGAAACACCGCAGCAGCCGGGGCGACGATAACGACAATGCTGATACTGATGATATATATGCTGACGACAATTGAAGATAAACGCGCACTATATGAATATATAACACATAGATAATTGGTATCATAATAAATATTATTGCTAGTGTTGCTACGACAAAGATCATACTGTTGTCACGGGTAATAGTTAATGTTACGACGGTCCATCATGGTGGAAATAGCAGCAGAAGTCGCAGTGACCGACTGACCAGAAAAACAATAGCAGGTCAGACTCAGGCAAAGGTCTTGCCAATTTTTTGTCGTGCAGTTAGTAGTGCCGTTGATAATAGCAGTTAGTTGCAGTCGCTTTACCAACTGACGATAACGGTGATGGTGACGGCTGGATGTGCCGGTGCTGCTTGTAAGAAGAACCCGTCTGCGCTTACACATGTGCGCGCGTAGCGACAACGCCAATACATTGTTGAAAAGAGGAAAAAGCGACAAATCGACGATGTCTATAATGCGATCATGCCCTACAATTATAGGCAAACAGAAAGAGCTTTGCGACGAGAACTTTTTCTCCCGAGAGTTGGTGATTGGCGTCGATCATAGCTTTTTCCCTTTTTATTTTTAATTTTGTGCCATCATTGCTATAATGGACTCTCTTGTTTTTCTGTCGTCGCGTTCGTCCTGCACACTCGCATGCACGGCTGCCAAATAGAGGAGTGACTCTCGATTTCGTGGCGGCAAAGTCGTTACTGCATGTCGACAATCCACCGTCGTTGATGCCTTCAGCCCTTGCTGCCGTTGCGGCTGCTTTCCCCCGTCGATCGGCCTATTCAGCTCTAGTGTGCCGTCTGTGGCCGTCACTTTTATACGATCTCGCAAATTCGCTTTCCGTCAGCTCCGTTGACTCGCCACTATTGCCGTACGTCCACTGTCACAACGTCAGCGATGCTCGTCGTCAACACCGCCATTTTACGGCGTTGCTGTTACGGTACGCTGCAGTGGTTGTAGTGCGAGCGACTGGGGCTGCGGCGACAATTCTCGCAGTTGGCGTCAAGCCGTTCTTTTGGTCCGCCGTCGGTCGGAAGGCCTATATGTTTGTTAGCTTGCTTATATTAGCTGATGGCCTGCTTGTTTAACTGGCTGATTTGCTGCCTGGGGGTGCCTATCCGTTTCCGTAATCGTTCGTTCTCTCGTGGTCGCCTGTGTATGTGAGACGGCGTACCGTTCTAGCTGCCGCTATCGTTGCTTGTCATTGCTACCCGTCGCAGTAGCGGTCTTACCAACGGCAATAGCTACGGCCTCCGCTGTCGCTGCAGCCACCATCGTCAGCGTCGTTTGCTCAAGGTTGCCAACGCTGCTGTTGCTGCTGTTTCTGCGATGGTGCCTTTACTGTGGTGTTTGCTGTACGTAAAACCCTTTGGTAAGCTAGCCAGCCAGCCAGCCAGCCAAGCGGCGGCCGCAGCAGCGCCGTTCAAGAGATGCAGACCAGCCAGAAACAGAGTGTGAAAGAGACAAAATGAGCGAGCGGTAGAAGCGACGGCGGCGGAAGGAAAACCGCTAAAGACGTAGTCGAGAAATACCGAGCGAGAGAGAGTTAGTTGCCGTTGCTGTTTAGGATAGCAGCAGTGCTGCGCCCTGGCGACATTACAGGCCCGGTAGTCGTAGCTGCTGTTGATATTAGAAACAACAGCCAGCCAATCGTGGTTGACTAGCACCAGCAGCATGGCGCGCTACGACTACCACGATTAGCAATGGTGCTGCTGTTGACTCGCCCGGCGAGCTGTCTGACCGGCCAGAAACGGTCAGCCTACCGGCAGTAGCTGATTAGCAGAGTAACCGCGGCGCCACGGGCGGTCGTAGAAGCACCATCACTGCAATAGCAGTAACGAATGGCCAAGCTAATGCGCTAACGACCAACAGACATTGCTGCTGCGGGAACAGCAGCATCTTATATATATAAGCACTAACGAGTAGGAAAGAAACTACTCTTGGCAGTCGCCACAGTCGCCATGTAGACGAATACTGCCGCCATCTTCGTCCTTAAATGCAACAAGAGTTTGTGGTCGTCAGTCAGTGCGTCGCGCTACTACTATCGCTGCTGCCGTTGCCACCACCGCCCATGCTGTTATTACTGTCGACGCTTCTCGGCGCGGCTCTTTTTTTCTTCTTCCCTACTCCAACGGAGCGAGGAAGCTGACGCTGCTGTCGCTGTCGCTGCTGTCGCTGTCGCTGCTGTCGCTGTCGCTTCGAACAGCGCGCGGTTGTCAGCAGTAAGAACAACAACAACGGCGGCAATAGCAATCGATCCTTTATTCTTGACCCTTTGCTTTCATGTTCCCTCTTCTCTTCCTGTCTGTATTTCGTTTTCTTCCCGTCCATCTCGTACAGTCGGTGTTTTTTTTGATGCACGACGTCATGCAGTCATGCAATCTTCTCGCAAATGCTGTGTAAAGGTGCTCACAAAATACCAATGGAGCGAAAAACGATGGTAGCAGTAGACCACGGTAACACGACAGGTGATACACCTGCTGAAATCGTGCCATCACTGCTAGTAGCTATTACAAGGTAAAGGCCAGCGCGAAAACACGCTAAGGGCGTGCTGCAAAATCTCGCTAGCTAGCGAACTTCAGACAGCAATAGTAACAGCTGCAGCCATGGGGCTGGTAAACGTTATAGAAGGAAGCCGCGACTTTTACTTTTGCTCTCTTCCTCTATGTTACATTTTGTACCTCGCAGTAATTAGAACTTACATCAATTACAACTATTACAGCAGACACTAAGCTTTTCCTTAAGGAACTGCACGCTGGAGGTATTTGACGTTACCACAGCCAATATGGGCATTTTTCCAGGTTGGGGTTTTTATTTCTCTATTATTATTACTATTGTATTGGGCTACGCGGTGTCAACAAGGAGACGGTATAGCAGCTTCAGTTACCTGAAATTGTTTGCATAGATTACAGTTGCCTCTGCCCGTCACTGTCACAACGGTCGCGATGGTGTACAATTAAAGCTGACACACCAGCTTTCCAGTATCAGCAGCGGTAGCGGCAACAGGTATGGCTGCTCTTGTTGGCGACAATTCCAGCTGCTGCCGGCGTTTCTTGTCGTCGAAGAAAACAAGGTCGAAGGCAAAACGTAACAGAACGATCAACGTCAACCCCGTTCGCCCTGTTTCCTATCAGTGTTCGGAAATAGCTAGTCTCTATATACCGTATCCTTCATTTAGCAACATTGAAGAAAAACGACGTAAGCGAAACTGAAAACGCTAAATTAGTCGATCAGAATTCACTTCAGTTCAGTGTTAAACGAGACATTCATATACCCGGCGTCATACCCCTCCCGAATCAACGCGTAATTCCAGGTCAACAAGGTAAACTGGCAAGTGCAAGTATGTGTATATATATACTTCGTCTACTGCTCGTGAACGGAAATGATTCGACGACATCTCCTCCTCCTTTTGCTCAAGGTTTCTCAATACATTTAAACTGAGAGCTGTGAACACTGTGACTATGACGGCAGCGGTCGACGGCCATCGCCTGTCTCATTCGATTTAGACGTCCGGGAACGCGGACTAACGACAAACAGCCAATTAGGTGGAGTGCCACCTAGATATATCTATCGGTAGACTCTTAGGCGTAATCTGAGGCAGCCAGCTTAAAAGCGACTAGCCGCAACAGGCAACTGCGGGAGAGGCAGGTATACAGGTGCGTTAAGCGCTTTACGTTGCGGTGACAGTGTTTTGCAAATGACAAAGGCCACCTTCCGTAATATAGCACAGCGCAGTAGAATTATAATGTATTATATTGTAGAACAATTGTACAAATTCGTGCGAATAATATCAGTAATACCATTTGTACCCCCTCCCCCTCCCCCCCCCCCCCCCCCAAAAAATGTTCTGTTAAAATATTAGGCAAACGTCCTACCGACGCGATAAGCTTATTGAACTATGGTCCGGCTAGGCCACCACTGATATAATTAGGGGCAGGAAGCACCCCTCGGGGGCCATCAAAAGGCCCTTACAATCAGCACCAACGTGAACTTGAGACGACGCAAAAGATGTCACACAGTTTTGCGCCAGTTTCATCGTTACTATTATTATTATTGTTATTATTATTATTACTATGATTATAGTTATACTAGTAGAACCCATTTAGAGTAATTTTATACGCCTTATAGAACATTGGTAACTAGTTACTCGTGTACAGGGCATTCATATAAGTGCTACGTGCAATATGTAGTTAGGTATAAGAAGTATGCCCTTCAAGCTACCCGTAATATGTTGGCACCAAAGACTTGAGAGACAGACAGACAGATTTACAGGCGGTCGAATGGATAGCTGATGGCATCTACTTATACTCTTCGAGTTTAACGAAAGACAGATTTATGGTGGTTCGATTCGTCGGCGCATTGGTCAGGAAGTCGCAGCCGTTCTACGGCCTATGGGAATGTCGTTGTAAGCCAGTGTAGCTGAACGAATCTTAGCGCTATATTTGTTCGCCTAACATAACATGAAAGTCTATTGTAGAACGAAAATCTACAGGTGTATCCAGCCACAGTCGGAGCAGCCAAAGCACTGACAACGTAAATCAACAACCAAAACGTTTGCTCTTTTCACAGGTGTACGGAATAGGGACGCACCCAGGCGCGACTTAGTACACCGGTCAACTAGTGACTTTGTAAAGTAGCAATAATAACAGTGCGACCGCCACGAGGTATCGAACCGCCACTCGCTCAACCACCAGCTGCTACGATTACGACCAGGCGACCCCGACAACTATACGATTGTCAATACCACAAAGCTTATTCCCATTGAGTTTGCCGGACTTCGCTCGATTTATCGTTTTCAACGAAAACACCGGCTCAAATAGATTTTTCTTGACACACATAGTCATATGGAATTTTTTTCTACTTAGCACACAGAAATGAATAATTATGATATAATACAAAAGTCATGTAATACTTATCGAATACACGCGTACACGAGTCGATCGATCTCGAAAACACCACTAACGATTTCTGAGTTTTTTTGCGTAGCTTTGGCTTGACGAGAAAAACTATGATGGAACGACAGGCTAGGAAAAGATGTCTAAGAATAGAAATGAAAAAACTCCTCCGCGTTTCTATAGATTCTAGCATGAACTGGAAAAAACTATATTTGCGGGCAATTCTACCATGAGCGACTGGAAATCTACGGAAATATAGATATCAAAGTAACATATGGAAAAAAAATTGACAAAATTTGATTTTTCTTCGCCCTCTGCCACATGGTATTGTAGGCTCCAGTCGCCAGTTAGCAACTTCTAAATTCATCATATAATTTAGATTATTGGCTTTTCGATAGATTTAGTGTTGACATGTCATTCTGAGAGTGAAACTCGCCGTTTGGGAATAGTAGGGGCGCGAGGGATCAACGGCAGCACCGTGACCGTTTTAGTGCAATGTGAGCACAGGATCCATTAACATGGCGATACGAGAACACCGCTTCATTATCACAGTAAAATTAGATCACGACAGTAAACTATCTCTGTCCGGATACGTGAGTGACGGTAGTGAAATTACCCAAATCAATATGTGGCAAAAAGGGCCAACGAAGCAAAACAGCGTGCAATGGGTTTTCCGAAACGGGGTAACAAGAGAACGGGAACAAAGAAACTGCAGTGATACAGTGAGGACTATTACTGAAACGAGGTATCGCTAGATGGAATTAATAATAGAAAAAAATACAACAGGTTTGGGTAGACAATATGGATTAAGATCCGATAGGTCTGAAGTCACTTCTATATATATATACTGGTGAAAATAAAAGGCTTCCGTTGGATAGCATCCAGAACACTGAACACAGATCATGTGCGGTAAAATAATGTATTAGCTGATGAACCTCGGGGCTCGACGTGGGCGGACACTGCACGTTTGTCTAGTAGCGAGAACCAGTTGTGCCAATACATACATACATACATACAAGATGGACGGGTAAAAATAAATACGTGTGAGCTAAATCTTAGACACAAAGAATTAATGCATCGAAGGTCCTCCATTGAATGTATACGTTCGACAATGAAACATTTAGACTACGTGGGCGTAATCTACTCAGAACAAACTATGGGAACATCGGCTGTTGCTCATCGACAACGACAACACCAGCTAATACCGTTTTTACAGCGCTAGCGGCATTTTGTTATTGTTTCATTACTGCTAGTTTTCATAAGCTGTACACATGCTACGAATGTACATTTGCTTTTGTTTTTTTCCAGTTTGGCGCATGCACGTACGTACGACGAACGCGAAACAACGACTGCAGACGCGGTAGTGTGTTTTCCCCACTCGTTTCTAAATTGATTTTTTCCATGTATATTAATCTTTCTACACAGACAAATATTGTCTCTTTCGCTCTGGACGATTCGCTTTCACTCGCCCAGTTGCACAAATGAGCGAGATACCTATACGCGGCCGTTACATACTCGTTGCTAATTTGCTATTACTGTTGTTGCCGCGCATAGCACAGGCGTCACCAACGTTCCACTCGATCACTGTCATACTTTTTCGTAATTTTTTTCGTTTTCCTTTTTGTCGTTTTCATTATTTTTCTTACCTTTCGCTTCATTCCTCCGTCATTTTGACCGTCACCCCGAATTTTTTGTACGTCAAGACGCGACGACAACCGCAACAACGACTATGACTGCTACTATCCAATGGAACAATCCGGTTTTAGTTGGACACACTCATACACCGATACTCAAACAGACGACGCATG